TTGAAAATTGAGGCAAAAAAATTGTTGAATACCTCAGTCTTCTCTGTGTAGGTTGTCACCAGTTCTCCTGTCTTATTTATTTCAGAGGTATATTTTCTTTACTCTTACTTTTTTAGCCAGCATACCTGTAAAATCCTTCTTATTATTTCCATCTCTTGCCAAATTCAGCCCCAAATATGCCTTAGCTTTCCTAATCCCCCCCCTACATATCCAGACAGCATCCTATATTATTCCCAGGATAAATGTCCCTTGTTCTTTGCCTGTGCATTTGCTTCTTACATTTCGGTTTACCTAGGGGGTGCTTACCATGCTGTTCTCCTGCCTTCTTTGCCTGATTTCTTACATGGGGAAATCAAGAGCTCCTACACTCTAAAACAAATGTCCTTAAAGAGCTGCCAGCTTTGTTTAGATCCCTTATTCCCGAAGGCAGTTTCCTAGGGGATCTCATCTGCTACTGGGTCTAAAGTCTAATCTAATCTGCCAATCAGATGAAAGTTTTCTCTCCTAAAATTCAAGGTCCTGACTACTCATCAGGTGGCCCATATCCCTCAAGATTGTTAATTCCATCAGGGCATAAGCACCTGATTGCATAAGCATGATTGTATAAGCATTGCAGCCCAGGCTGCCACCAATAATGACCTCTCTAATTAGTTAATCTGTGTCATATTTGATTGGCTGCAAATGGAGACCTCTAGGAATAAAGTAGGAAAGGAATATTTGAAGTGATAGTAAAGGGAGGCTTAGAGAAATTCAGGGGAGAGGAGGAGAGACATAGGTGAAAATATAAGAAGACCATCCAGGAGTGACGTATGACATCAGAGATCTAATAGCATCAGATGTAAACTCATAATTGCTTTTGCAGGTAGAGTCTGGCAGAACATGTTTGTGAAACAAAAAACACATTAAGATTTCCAGGTATAAAAGAAAAAAATATATTTGTAGGAGGAAAGAAGAGAGAGAAAAATAAGTATTTGAAGCCTTTGTGGGAACTGGAAGTGTATGTCCTTGGAGCTTTGTGGTGTGTGTTTGTGCTCTAAATTCCAATCTGTGTATATATTGAAAGCAAGCTTTCATTTCACTACTTCAAATGGTCCAATAGCCTGTAGCTTACAAGGAATAAACTTGTCACTGAGCACTGTAGTTTCTCAGGCTGTTAGCTGATTTGATTGAATGAACAAGACAACATAAATCCTTGCTGTAGAATGGACCGTTGTTCCCTGTATTGTATGTCCAACAGGCTGACCTAAACGTCATTGAATGTCTTACTGTTTCTCATCAAGAGCCTGTGAAATAAGGAGGTGGGTGAATGATATGCATGCTGTACCTGAGAATTCAGTTTAGGATTCCTCTTTCTTTGACTGAACCACTAAGGAAAAAGCAGTTTTACTGTATCTCAAATTTTGCAATTTTTTCTGCAAAAACATCTGTATGTTATCCGAAAATTTTTTTATGAAATATAGAGAACTGAAAAAACTGGTTTCTTCTATTTTTCTGGTGTAAGATGTCTGAAAGCAAAAAGAATGCCTCCTTCTAAAATTTATTCTGCTCTGGTGTATTCATCTGCATTGCTGCTTTTGTCAAGCCTTGGCATTTTTCCGGAGCTTCTAGCTAAGCTAGGTTGGAATAAGCCCACCAATATGATAGACAGCCACTTTAGAACTCTCAAGATTCAAAGTAGACTGTTGAAAAAATGGTTTTGGCTCAGGGAAGCTCTTCCCAATGTGTGTAAATAATTGATAAAAGGGAGCGAAAAAAGGTGGAGGTAGACTCTTCTCAGGGGTATCCAGTGACAGGACAAGATGTAATGGATAAAAGCTAAACTACATGAAATATTTTAAGATAAGATACTGCTCCCTTTTAATGTGAGGGTGGTCAGGTGGTAGAACAGGTGTGCCCAGAGTGGTTGTGGAGTCTCCATCTTTGGAGATACTCAGAATGAGACTGGACTGAGACATGAGAAAACTCTAGTTGAACCTTTTTTGAGCAGGGGGGTCTAGATGAACCTCAGAAACTTTTATCCAAAATCAACCATTCAGGAAATCTTAAGATTCTTTCCTCTTATTTAATTCCTTAAAACTTTTAAGGTAGAATATACAGCAACTGATACCTATATATTTCACTGGAATGTGAGAAGTAAAAAGGGAATTTTAAAGCAGGTAAGAACCAAAGAATTTAATATTTAATGCATCATATAGAGATAGAAGAACTTTAATATTAGTTTTTTGGATGCCGTTCATGATTATAGCTGGCAATTTTCAACTTGGACTCTAATGTTTAAACAGGTAGTAAAATACAAAACCATGAATATAATTTATACTGTCTATTTTCATTACCCTCTCCTTTGGTTTGTAACTGTACAGAAAGCTCTTAAATTTGTGGGGAGCTGTATGGAAAGTCAACAGATAGTTCTTATGGAAGCTGATCTGTATGTATTAAAGAAGTTCTATGCATTTCACAGTTAAAGCGCTATATGTGACTTATATTGTTAAAATGAATAGTTTACAGAAAAGAGCCATGCATGATTTGGTTTTGTAATATCAATGGGAATATTTGGATTTGGTTATTGAAAAAAAATGTTTATGTTGGTAAAACAACACAAAGAAGTTCAGCATTGACTATCTTATCTTTATATGGTCTCTTAAAAGCATATGTTAGCTTTTTTATTTTCTTTTTCCCCTGAGAATCCTAGAAATCATCTTGATTTTTCTAACACAGTGAAAAAAAAATAGTCATTTTGAAAAAGACTGTTTGGGTTTTTGCCTTTTGATTGCATAGTGTCCAAGAATACCAGCTATAGTAGCTTAATTAATAATCTGCCTTTAATAATCATAACACTTCCTTACCTTATTTAAATAGTAGTTCTCATTAAGACAAGATTTTGTCTCTATTCTTAAAACTGGGCCTCAGGATAGACACTACTATATATTTTTTCACTTTTAATGATGTCACCAGCAACTTTTTTGATAGTACAGAAACAAGTACAAAAGCTCTGTGATTGTCTTCTTTGCAGTAATATTGACTGTTGCATCTCAGTTGGCAGGTGGCATGAAGCCAGGGTAGGACTGGCTAGTTGTGTAGCGTAAATAACTGCTGTGTTTCAGTGACCTAATGTTCCCTGTGGCCATACGGAATGGTTTTGATAACTCAAAGGCAGTTATGAAACTCATTAGGAAGAAGGGAATGAAACATGTTTAATGTGCTCTCCTCTGTACCTCAGTTATGTCCCTGAAGTCGGACCAGTGAAGAATTGAACCATGTTCTCCTAATATGAAGTGAAAGGCTCTCCAAGTTAAAAATGGAGCATAGACACTTTGTAGTAGTTCATTGATAGTTATTTATTCAGAACTTTATAAATGAATTCAAGAAAAAAATGAGCTTCCATAAAACAAACAACATCTGTGTTCTGATCTGTTGGGACAGAGTGTTCTACTATGTCCAGTTTCAGACATTTGGAGATACCTAATTTGTAAGAGGCTCATACTTTTATGTGTTGACTAATCTGGAGAAAATTAAACAAAGTGTTGAGTTGTGGGTGTAGTATTAGTGGGCGTTGCCTCTAGATACTAGATTGGTTCTGTCATGAATAACAAAAGCAGGTATGATTTTTGTGTACAAGCATAGAGTAACAAAGCATATTTACTTGTAACCATATTTCCAAAAGTATATTTTGGATGTTATAACTGATAAATGAGTCCTAAAATGTGATTTTTGTCAGAGTTATTTTAAGATTGCCTGAGTGCTTTTTGATAGCTCCCTTCCCATGAGAAACGTACAGTAACCTGATTTTTGAATCCTTATTGATAAAATACTCAGGCCTTTCAAATATAAAGTTGCTTCATTATGTCCTTTTCATTTCATGAGACATGGAAATTATACCCCAAAATCAATAACATAGAACATTAAAAATTCCAAAGAAAACACTGTAAATACAGTGTTTTAAAGGGTGAAATTTGCCTTTTGTTTGGCAAGCAATACCTGTGCCTTACAGAACAGAATTACATTACTGATTCTCTATTAAATGACCTGTTTATTATTTAAGAACAATTCCTTTTATCAAATTAGAACTATGAAGATATATTTGAATGTTTTAATGCCTGAAATCAATATTGATCAAAGTAGATAAAAGCTGGTATAGTTCATCTTTCATATTGTCTCTTGTCCTGAAAATGAGTTGCAAATACATGTTGATTTCCTTTTTATCTTCAGTGAAAGTAACAGGAATACATGACTTTTGAAGTATAATGAACCTTCTTCTATTGCAGCAAATTAAAAAATTTTGCTCTGCAAACTTTGAAATTATTAGCAAATTATTATATCTGAATTTATAGAACATTATCATATTCATGTTGTGAATAAAAATAGATATCTAAGTCATGAAGATAGCTTCTTTACAAGCAGATGTAATTTAGATTTTGGTCCAGTTTTTCTCTTCTGTTTTATCACTAACATATCTTCACAAGAGAATACCAAAAAGAGAAAGAACACGATGAAAATAGGATACTTCATAATGCTTTTGACCTCCTACCCTCTTTCTTAGAGTGGACTGAATATGCTGCCTGGTGCATTTCATCCCAAACACTGAAGTACCTACTAGTTTCACACATATGAAAAGATGTCCTTCTAATCCTCAATCTTAAGCAAATTTCCATTTCATGTTTGATAATTTGTGCTGTTGCTCCAGCTTAAAGAAGATCCAGAGATGATTCTGTCAGTATCTGCTAAACCAGATGATTCTCCGAGTCATACTGTGACCTAGAATAAATCTTTTTGCTTTTGTTCGAATAAATGGTGGGAGAAGAAATTGAATATAACTTTTATTCATAGTGCAATCTGATACAATTGCCAGGAAAAGAAAAGCTATGAAAAGATGAAAAATATAATTGATTTTGTTTCTAGTTTTGTTTCTTTTTTAAATAGAAATAGTTGGAACCAATTGGGCTAAGTTGTTGATTTTCATTCAGCCACTATGTCAACACTTTTTTTTTTTTCCCTCCATCCAGATGCACGTGTACAGCAGGGTGGACAGGACCAGACTGCAGTGAAGATATAAATGAATGTGAATCTGAACCATGCTTGAATGGAGCCACCTGCTATGAGTCTGTGAAGCCGGGGCAGTTTGTATGCATTTGTCCTCCATTTTATACTGGTGATTTCTGCCACCAGCGCTTCAGTCCTTGTGAGCTGCCTTACAATCCATGTATCAACAATTCAACCTGTTTGGCACAAGTGGATGGAAATCCAATGTGCATTTGCAAAACAGGTAAGGACTGGTATAGTTAATCTCTTCCATTGTCTGTTGTGCTGCAGAAAAGTTGCAAATATGTGTTGAATTTATCGCTATCTTCAGTTTAAGTAGCAAAATATACTTTTCAAAGCACATAAACCCACCAAGAATTACATCAGGTCTATCTGTTGTGTTAAAAGACTGGTAGGATAGCTGTCAATTTGCCAATTATTAATTTCTTATATTACAATACTTATTAAATCTATGGTGGTTTAAGTTCAGGACTCAGAATTACTATTTCTGAGTCAATTGTTACAATGGCATAGAGATAGACATACACCTGGCCAGCAGAGCTGACAAACTAAATTGACAAAACAGACAGGCAAAAGTAGACAACATATATGCAAATTGTTAAAAGTACAAAAATTGGAGCAAGTTGGAAATGGTTTCTTTTCCTGCTGAGCTGTCAGGAAGGCCTGGCACATCAGGAAAGTAATCTTTCTTTGCCTAATGGATACAGGGGATTGCTCTCTGTATGCATAACAAGCAAAATCACAACAGTTGCTGACAGCTTTCCTGGGCCATTGCTTAAAAGATACAATCTCTCCATTGATATGCAAGAACTGCTAAGTTGGAACGGAGCAACAGTTTAACTGTGCAGAACATCATTGTGTAGGAACTGTGGAGCACATTAACTAGTGAAAATTTAGAGTTTAGGAAGAATTTTGAAGTCATCATTGTTGTGCCTACAGAGGTAGGGGTGTCTTAGGTACTGAGGATACCATATACATTAATTGCAGTGTTACATGTCATTTACTGAGCTACAAAGATATGGACATAATACATAAGAATCAGGAATATGTAATACCTTGGGGTTTTTTACTATTAAGGTAAAGGCTACCACAAGCTGCTGAGTTAAAAAAAGAAGTCACTGGGGAGGTGTGCAAGTTGCTTATTGAAGTAGCTTTAAGAGAAGCTGCTTTTTAAAAACAGCTTTTGACACAATGTATTGATTTTTGAAACCTTTTTCAGAAGTAATCTGTAGAGAGACATGTAGTTCAAGTTTTTTTTAACATTCCTCAGAAAAGTCGTGTTTTCCACACATTTTTGTGCAGTTGCAGAAGAATCAAAAAAGCTTTCTGTCAGAATTCTTGGAGAGCTTTGATGGAATCTTCAAGAATCTTGAAGCTTGTAGCTAGGAAATATTCAGGGAAGTAGCAGGGAAGTTATGTGAATCAGCAACATGCATTGCTAACAAATCTTGGAAAGTGGAAAATTCATCATCGAAAAGGGATTAAAGGCATAATTCATGAAGTGAGTTAATCATTCATGCTAGGAAAAATGCAACCATTTATTCAGGACTCTTATCATAAAAAGAGAGATAGTAAAATAAAGAATTTTAATTGAAAGGAGTTTGACGAAATCTAATTCTTCAGTTGTCTTCTATATTAATCTATATTTGTCTGCCATGTGCCTCCCTTTTTCTCCTGATAAACTTGTTAGGGTTATACAAGGTATAACCCTGATACAAAGGGCAATCACATTGACATAGCTAGATTACTCCAAGACACCTGATTTAGTAGCAAATGGTATGTGGATTAAACCATTTGCCAGTAGTTAATAGTTCAGTCATTAGAAAGTATGAATCTGGCTTAGCAGGATTCACAAAATGTAGCTGCACTTTCCAAATTCTAACGATCATCTATAGAACACCATATCTGAGATGGGCACAAGAGGACCGTAAGTCATGCTATTGACAGTGGTACCTATTTAGAAGGAAAAGAGACTATCTCCTGATTAAAGAGAGCTGGGCTAGGTCAGAAAAGACAAAAGCTGATAGAATGTAAATTGGGCAGAATCATAGAATCAGCTGGGTTGGAAAGGACCTCTGAGATCATCAAATCCAACCTTTGATCCAACAGCACTTTGGTTACCAGACTATGACACTAAGTGCCACATCCAGTCTCATCTTAAAAACCTCCAGGGACAGAGAATCCACCACTTCCCTGAGCAACCCATTCCAATGCCTGATTACCCTCTCTGTAAAGAATTTCTTCCTAATATCTAACCTAAACTTCCCCTGGCACAGCTTAAGACCATACCCTCTTATTTTACTGATAGCTACCTGGGAGAAGAGACTGATGCCCACCTGGCTACAACCTCCTTTCAGGGAGTTGTAGAGAGTGATGGGGTCTCCCCTGAGCTTCCTCTTCTCCAGGCTAAACAACCCCAGCTTCCTCAACCTCTCCTCATAGGACTTGTGTTCATGTCCCTTCATCAGCCTTGTTGCTCTTCTCTTGACCTGCTCCATCACCTCAATATCCTTCCTGAACTGAGGGGCCCAGAACTGGACACAATAATCAAGGTGTGGCTTCACCAGCACTGAGTACAGGGGAAGAATCACTTGCCTGGTCCTGTTGGCCACACTCTTCCTGACACAGGCCAGGATGCCTTCTTGGCCACCTGGGCACACTGCTGGCTCACATTCAGCTTCCTGTCAATCCAAACTCCCAGGTCCCTTTCTGCCTGGCTACTCTCCAACCACTCTGTCCCCAGCCTGTAGTGCTGCAGGAGGTTGTTGTGGCCAAAGTGCAGGACCCGGCACTTGGCCTTGTTGAACGTCATCCAGTTGGAATCAGCCAAAAAAAAGAGTATGAAGGATGTTAGCCTAGGACAGAATTACCACGGAAAATTGGTAGGAAGATAACAAAGCCATCGCTAGTTGTAGTATAAAGTAAAACTCCACATCTTTGTTCTTGTATGTATGTTAGGGAACTACAGTTGTCTCTTTTTGCTCTAAAGACTTCTAGAATTCGATAAATAGCATTAGTGTAAAACTTCCTCTTGAGCTGTCTGCCCTAGATATAGAGGGTTTCTTCCTGCAAGGAGATAGATGATAACATTTGTGTAACAAACTGGGATCTCATATCATAGATTCTGGAACAGTGTTAGACCATAACTTTAAGTGAAATTGTCCACACAAGCAAGTTAAACAGTTTAAAACATTACGGTCTCTATAATTGTATGGTGTTATATTGATGGTTGCAAGAATGTTGTAGGGGAGGCATTATTGCAAAAGTTTAAGAATCACTGCAATAGAGCAAGTTTCTGAAGATGTGTACAGAAAACATCTCTTCTTATGTACTTTGCCAGAAATAGAAAAGCAAGGGTTTGATCAAGGCAATTGGAAGGACATAGGGTTTTGAGCTGTTAGGCATGTAACCAGCACTGTACATACTAAATGCAAACAACACAGAGAAGAAATGGAAAACTTAGGGCAAATAGTGGGATTTTATTGCTTAATTTATCAACATGCTTTTCTGTTCTTAAGGAATTCCATTCTTGGAATTAATCTTAATAATAGAAATGGAAATTTAGTGTAACAGAAGAACAAGGTAGGAAATGTGAGCAAAACTATAGAATTTAAATAATGAAATATTTGTAGTTGAACCTGGGCAACTATTCATAAATTCCCAAAAAAGTCTACATGCAAAAAATCCAAATATATATATAAGTGAACTAGATTGGAAATAGAGTATGGGCATTAGCCCATGCTGTTCTAGATAATATCAAGAACAAAAGTGTTAGTTTTGTAAAGACAACACAAAGGAAAGACAGGGCAGTTTGGTAAAAATAGTTCAGCATTCTGAGAACAATTTTGTTCCACACCAAAAAAATTACTGAAAAAAGTATATTCAGAATGAGGAAAAACTATAAGAGGACATACAACTACACAGTGCAAGATCAGCTCTCTGGCTAGGACTGTTGAAAAACAAGCTTAATTAATGATGAAGTGGGACATAAAAGGTAACAATATTCACAAAGTGTGAAACGTGGGGAATTACGAGCACAGAAATATTATAGAGAATAACAAGATAAAGAAATAATTTGCAACCATAAACTATGGGTCAGAAAATATCTAGTGTTTTCTAATAAGAGAGTTTTATAACAGTGATTTATTCTTCTATGAGAATTGAGTAGATATATCTAGGAGCTAAAGCAAGGCAAGATTAGTAGCAGCAGCAGATACAGTTGTTGCTGACACAAAAACAGGAAGTGAAATGCAAGGTTGTTTAATTAAGACAGTTCTTGGAATTTCTGTTTCTTAAAAGGTAGAAATGAATCTCTCACTAAAATTAGATGTAGATCTTGCTTCATTAGTCCAAGTAATATGGATAGGATAAACTCATTATGTTTATGCAGCCTCCTTATTACAGTGGAAGCAATTTGCTGCTTACCTGTTAGGTTGTGATGGAAAAATTATCAGGAAACACTATACATTATACATTGCATACATATAGAGAGAGTGTTCATATCAAAGCTTTATGTACTCTTTTCAAAAATATGGATTATTTGATCAGCTTCTGTGTTAATTCAGTAACATTTTAATGAGTTCTGATAATCAGATGGGAAATTAGATCAATTAAATACTGTATGTATTTTTGAAACAAATACACTAGAAATACCTGGATTAATTTGACCAGATATAGATGTCCACAGTATTACATTAAGGTGCTGTCATTTTCTGAGGTTATGCATTTCACTCAAAAGCAGACATACAGAGTCAAATGGCTAATGCTATAGAAATATTTATGTCACTCTGCTGACTATTTAGGCAGCTTAGGACAATTCTATCAAACGGTAGACAGGCTGAATTTTTTACCAGTTACCTGTTGCTGGATTATTATTGCTGTAGGGATTTTTTTTTAATCTACACAGTTCTGGGAAGCACAGTTTTAAAGAGATGTAAAAAGAACAGAGAGCAGCAACTTATGTCATTACAGCACATAAGTACTCAAAAGCTTTGTCATCTTATTTGTGCTCATTGCAGCTTTAAAGATATAAGGCTAAAAGTTGGGAACTTGAAAAAACCTGGTTTATGCAAAAGGAATTGCAGGGGTCTCAAGGTTACAACCACCAGTTTTAGGGTGTAGGGAAATTATGTGTCTTGTTCCAGGAAAATTTGTTAAAGATATCTAGGAAGAGCACTGTATTATGTCTAAGGAGAAACAATAGCTACAGTTTGTACTGGCATTAGCCATCTTATTTTTTCTTTATCTTCCAAGTAGTCCTTCTAAAAGCAATACTCTCTTGATGCTTCAGGGTAATTTCTGAAGTCCTTGTTCTTAAACAGTTCTTTCCAGGACTTTTTAACCTCTTATCAGACTACTGTCAATAACTCTGTCCCATGAGACCTTGTTTTTTTATATCCTTTGTTCTAGCATGCTAGTGACTATTTTTAGTTGGTCTATGGGATGTTAGAGCTAGAAGTTTGAACTGAGGCAAAATATCTTTCAGTCCATGTCTGAAACAAGGCTAAGTGAAAATCATAATAATGCACAAACTTTATAATACCAAGTAGAAATAATAAGTGGATGCTGAAGAACAGAAATTATACAAATTCAGATTACCATTGTCAGATTCCTGAGCCCCTCTATGCCAGTTTCTTTTTCAGGCACACACATACATAATTCACAGATGGAAATAGCCTTTTTAAAGAGCCTAATATTTTACACACTTTTGATTTTGATATATGTACCTGCCTTTGTTATGCTGAATAACCCAAGTACCTGAACTAATGATTATGGGGCAGCTGTGATATCTCTGCTGCTTGCAAACGTTGGTTCATAAATGGTTCATGGTAAGGAGACAAATATAAATATAATCCTTTATATTGTACTGATGAATAAAATAGTAGAGATCTTATAGCGAAAGAATCCTTTTAGGATCCTGTTAGTCCTCTATGTTACCTGCAGAGGTCAATTCTGTAGTATTTCTCTGCAATGGAAAAAGGAGATAAAAATGATCATAAATATGACAACAGATATTTAGCTTCTATACTCTGCATATTCTTTCACTTCGCAGCTCTCAAAAATCTCATAGACAGAGTTAAGACATGCAGGATTCATTTCCTATATTTCAGAGAAAGAGAAGGAATGTCCCGTCTTAAAGTAACAGCATTTAAGACATTTCTAGACCTCATATCATTAAAGTCACTTTCATGTCACCTGAACAATTAGAAATATAGAGAAATAAATGTAGATTTTCTAACACAAAGTACTGTAATGATTTTCAGTTGTTTTTCATCTCTGTTAATTTCTGACAGTCTGGAAAATGTTCTCTGTTACTATAAAAAGTGTTAACATTTCTGAGGTGCATTTCACTTCCTCAAAAATGCCTATATATTTTCAACGAAATAATAAGTATTTCAAACTAAGTAGTGTATCCCTTTGATTTAAAAAAAAAAAATATAGATACCAGTAAGGCAATGAGATTCTGTTTACACCTTCAGTTTTTCTAATGTGACAGGAAAAATACAGCAAAATATGTTTAACAAATAAAAACCACTTTACAGCATCAAGCCTGTTACCAGGATTGTTACCAAATAAGTGATATTTTCTTTTAAAAGGGAGTCTATGCAGCAGTGGGCAAAGATGCGGGAAAATTCTTTTAACTTGAGTACAACAGCATTTTGATCTTGTGTCTTTTGCCAACTATTGCTTCCTCATTTATCTGTAATCAGAGACTAATATGTACTAGATGTCTTAGTTTTGAGAAGAAGGACTGCATGTTAGAGCAAAGAATGATGAGATGTACCTTATGACTTGACCACATATTTGAGATACTCTTTAGTAGAAAAGATTCACCAGAAGACCCAAAACCATATCCACATATGTCCACAGAAATAATTAGCATGTATTCAGGAAGTGTAATAAATATGTAATAGAAATGTGATGAATATGTACTAGTTTCAGCAATACAACCTGCTCTGTTTGGTTACTGGGTGTGCAAGCTTTGTGGAGTATCTCTGAGTTATTCATAGTATTACCTTGGTTTGCTTTCTCTTTAAATGTACTAATTTCAGTGAAGCTGCATTTTCCCCGCCCATTGGCACAGCCTTCTACTCTGTAATGAAACTTAATTTCAAAAATGTCAAACATTACAAATAAATGAGAAATCACAGATGCTGAAGTTGACTACAAATGGTCTTGTGATCCTGGTCTCTCACTATGGCCTCCAATTTCTTAATTAAGCCAGAGTTAGAGAAACGTTACCATCTTTTCTGCTCTTACCCAGTGGAACTGGAGTGGCATGTTTTAAAAGGACAGTTACTGATTATTTTGTGTGTGTGTCAGTGACCAGGTCTAGTACTGAACTTGGTCTCTGGAGTGCTAGTTTACAGTTCTTTTCTTTTTTCCTTAAACTATAGGCAGATACAGATGAAGGTTCAAATCGCAGCATTAAGATGCATATTACACATGCTACAGATAAGAAAAATGTTCGTATTGTTTACTCTGATTCAGACCCATTTGCAAATAATAAACTAAAACATTCAAAATACAACAAGGTTGCTTGTGCTGAGGGAGCTACTTCAAAGCAGTACACTGGGACAGATAATTTTTTCCTTATTATGGCAATTCTTTTACCATTGGGTGTTTGTGTTTTGGGTTTTTTTTGTGAAACATCATACAAATAGTAAATAAATGAGGGTATCTCTTCATTTTCTGAAGCATGACATTTCTGAAAAAAAGAATAACATCATAGCAGTATAAGTGACTGTAATTGAAGAGTTAGTTTGAGATACATTCCAGGCATTATTTTTTTTACCTTTGTAGCAGACACTGCTGTGAAACCTTCAGCAAATATTAAGAACTCGTTTCAGTCAGGTCTAGCCCAGAAAGCTGTTAAACAGAAATAATCTTGCTAAGAATAAAATACCAACTACTTTGATGTGGGCTCACGTTTAGAACATATATCAGAGTGCCAGCAGAGATTTCTTTCTACAGTTTTCCCTACAACTCTGACTAAGACATTTGTTTTTCCAGTAATGGTTTTCTCTAGATAAAAATAAGCCATACTATTCTAACTGTTGTCTTTCATGATCTCCCCACTTTCATTAAGTACTTTGAAAACTAAAAATACATTATATAGCAATAAAAGCAATTATTATCCTTATTTGAGTATCTAAAAAAGTATAGGGAACAATTTTTCCTTGTTGCTTTAACAAAACATCCAATAAAACCTTCATCATGTTTATAGTAATATATACTGAATTTCAGTATACTGAATTCAGTATATAGTAATATATACTGAATTTCAGTAACTATTTTTTATAGTTTTCTTAATTTAATTTTTTCATCTAATTGATGTTCAAAAATGCTTGTTGAACACCATAAATGTTCTTTGGTCAATATGCAATCAGGAGTCGTGTATTCTCATTGCAGTGCAAATAGTTTACTCACTGTAGTGGTTTCATTATTACATCAATTGAAAACATATATATTTAATTTGTTCAAAATTCAACTAAGTAGCTATAGTTTAGCCACTGTATGTATAGAACTTTAACACAACCATGCATTTAGCAGAATATTTATTTAGGTGGAAGTTTTAAGATATAGTATTCTAAGAGCAGAAATAGTGTTCATGTATCACTGAAAGATGACTTATTTCTTTTTAGTGTATATTCTGGAACATTTACACAGGTAAATGTAATGTATTATGCAAGTAATGTACTGTGCAGATAAGATCTTAATCACATTTTTTCTTCATTTAAATATTAAAACCACTTAATTTTTTTTTTCTCAACTACTGACTGCTTTGAATAAATGTGGTCTCTCTAACTTCCACTATGCTCTGTAATATATTAATTACTGAATTAGCTTTTAGTTTCTTTTGTTCTGCACTCTCCAAGAAAGCCTTTTCAGTCTTTTAAAAAGGGGTACATTTCCCCAGTATATTTAAACAGATACTCATACCAAATCTGTTCTCTCTGGTTCATTAAAGTATCCTAAAACTTCATACACTGTCTGGAAATTATTTGAAACTAAGAACAAAAATAATTGGAGAAAATTCTTTTGTTTCCTTCCACTTGTTGTCCAGATTTTAGAGTCAGCGAGCAGTGACTGCTCCAGGAGCAAAGGTAAGCCAGGAATCCTTGGTTGCCAGAGCAGGGACCTTGCTCTCTGACAGTATATGAATATGGCAAGCAGGTCAGGCCCAATGGCTGTATCTAGGATCAGCACAGTATGCCAGAGCACCAGTCAAAGCCACGGGGAATGGGACAGATCCAAGGTCAAGCCAGGAAGCTACTCTGAAGACCAAAGTCAACATTCAAATAAGCAGCTACATGGCTAGGCATGCACATGGCTGCAACACAGGTCAGTCAGACACCCAGGGCAAAGAGCCTCAGCTTGAATGCTCCAAAAAGAAGAGGTAGTCATTGCTGATACTTCCCTCATCTCTTTCTTGAATGGCTTCAAGTGCAGCTTAGGTTTCTCAGGCCTGCCACTTGCATTGTCTAAGTTGCTCCTAGACTCAGACAGCCAAACCTCCAAGAGAAGCTGTGACCCTTATATTTAGATCATGTAGTAGAGTTCATTCATTCATAGTTAATGTGATCTATGTTTCAGGATTTGAGGGTACTTACTGTGAAGTTAACAGTGATGAGTGCATCTCCCATCCGTGCCAAAATGAAGGTCTCTGTGTGGATGGGATCAACCACTACAGGTGAGGAAAATTATTCGAATGACAGATATACAGTATGATAGATGGATATTTATCATCTAGCTATTGCTTTGGTACTTTGCCTGTCTAATGTCTGTTGACCTTCAATGTGTTTGATAGCTACATTACAGTCTAGATCTTCTTGTGAGCAAAAAGTCATACATGTACACCATACATGTGAACCCAAAAATCTATTGTAGGGCTAATTAAAATCTTAAGAATCCAATAAAATCCAGAAAACTGTTGTTGTTAGTCCTGTTAAAATAATGCAAATAATCTGAGTTGAAATAAATAGAAAATCTTCATGAACAATTTAGTTGTAGTTGTTATGTAAGAAATCTTGCAATTACGTAGCTCTTGTATCCTTTGTTATGATTACTCTCACAATGTCTGGATCTTGTGATCAGTGATTTTGATCTTCCTCAAGAAGAACTGGCAGTATTACTGTGAGTCAGTGGCATCAGGAAGTCTTTCTCATGAGAAGTGTGATTTTTACAGTAGGGGTTCTCTCATCTTCAGTCTCAGGTCTGCTTGGAGCCTTTTCTGTATATTTTCTTATCACAATTTACTTCCTCTGCACTGTTTACCAGTTTCCCCAGCTCACACAGAATCATAGAATGGTTTGGGTTGGAAGGGGCCTTAAAGATCATCTAGTTCCAAACACCCTGCCACTGGAAGGGACACCTTTCACTAGAACAGGTTGCTCAGAGCTCCAGCTAGCCTGGCTTTGAACACTGCCAGGGATGAGACATCCACAACTTTTCCGGGCAACATGTTCCAGTGCCTCATCACCCTCACAGCAAAGAACTTCCTCCTAATATCTAATCTAAACGTACTCTCTTTTAGTTTGAATCCATTCCCCCTTGACCTTTCACTACATGCTCTTGTAAAAAGTCCCTTTCCTTCTTTCTTGTAAGGTCCTTTCAGATACTGGAAGACCACAATTAGGTCACCCCTAAACCTTCTCTTTTCTAGGCTGAACAACCACAACTGTCAGAGTTTCCTCATAGGAGAGGTACTCCATCCTTCTAACCGTTCTTGGTGGCCTTCTCTGGACTTATTCCAGCAGGCTGATGTCCTTTCTGTGCTGGGGACCCCAGAGTTGAACGCAGCACTCCATGCAGAGTCTCACCAGACTGGAGTAGAAGGGCAGAATCACCTCCCTTGACCTGCTGGCCCTTTGATGTAGCCCAGGATATAATTGGCTTTCTGGACTGCAAGCACATATTGCCAGCTCATGTCCAGTGTCTCATGCTCCAGGACCCCCAAGTCCTTGCCAGCAGGTCTGCTCTTGATCTGTTTATCCCCCAGCCTATATTGATACCAGAGGTTGCTCCAAGCCGGGTGCAGCCCCTTGCACTTGGTCTTACTAAACTTCACAAGATTCCCATGAGCCCAATTCTGGAGGATGGCATCCCCTCCTTCAAGTGTGGGACACAAAAGGCTATTATTTGTAACACCATGATCATCCCAGCGTCTTGCACTCTCACCATAGGTGCTATTTGCAGACCTGAAACTATAGCACAGGAGGTATCAGTTACTTGGCTCCAGGGCAGGTGTAAAAACAAGTGAAAACCAGCTCAGGCCAAGGCAAGTCCTACGTAAGCCCTTGCACAGTGGATTTAGCACAAAGCCTGTGGCCTTCAGCTAATAATGATGAAAGTCTTATTTACTGGTCTACAGTCACTGCACTTGTGAAGCTTGTTAAAATATAGTCCTTTGTAATGACCCAAAAAAAGCAAACGTGATTTTGGTACCACATAATTCATACCCCTCAATATCTGCTGTGTTTTTCTGGACTCTTTAGAATGAACTAAAAATTAATGTACTGACATCCTTTTTGTTAGATGCTCCTGCCAACATGGCTATACTGGGACCCTGTGTGAAGTGGAGATCAATGAATGCTTATCAAGACCCTGCAAAAACAATGGAACTTGCCTGGATCTTGTTAACAGGCTAGTGACTACTAAATGAAATCTGATTCCCTGATTTTATTACGTTAATTCTGCTTACTGCCTCGATATTTGGATGGGACCTTAAGCATATGACAAGGATTTGGTGTTAAAGTAAAGCAGGCCAATCCTACTGACTCAGTTTTCTGTCCATATGCAAACTGGAAGGAAATTAGAAGGGGAAAAGTCTCTTACTTATTTTATTATTATTTTATTTATTTGGAAAAAGACTGAAATAGAAGAAAATTGATCTTGAGTTAGATTGCTACATGCATCTCTTTTTTCAGCTTCCAACAGATACTTTTTCAAATGTAAAGGTTTACTAAAAATTAAATGAAAGCAAGAGAAAAACTTGTACTATATGTTTTTTTAACAGCACTCCACAAGACTTGGGTCAGAAGACTACTAGTCCTTAAGTCATTCCTTATACCTTCAATTAAAATTACTGTGTCCATTTTTTTCTACTAATTTAACAAAGAGTAAATCACTCTGCTTGCTTCAGAAGGATGGAAATTAGAAAAGTTTGTTATTTTAATATGGATGAGGGTTAGGGACACTAACTTGACATCGGGTGATATATAAAGCTTCAAAATATTGGAATAGATCACACTGTTACTTCTGTTAACTTACCTGATTTTCCCTTTTCTGAAGATTCATCTGTAACTGTGCACCTGGATACTATGGGTCTCTGTGTGAGATGGATGTAAATGAGTGTGAAACTTTGCCTTGTTTGCATGGAGGAAGCTGCATCAACAGGCTTGGAGGCTATCTGTGTTTCTGTCTACCTGGATTCACAGGTATGATCCACTCTCTACCACAATCAAGAAGCTTATTTCACAGGTTTTACATGGTTTTAATTTTATAGCAAAGACCTCAACTAAACCAAGGAAGAGCAAACAGGAACATCTCCTTATTGGAGGATAAATCAATATTAACTCAAATAGAACTTTGATACAATTCTTGTGAAGTATCTCAAGCTTATTTATATCAAGACTTGATTTATGATTTCTCTAGTCCCCCATACATTCAGCTGAAAACTATTAAAAGAGTTATTGTACAATACAAAGAAAATCAATGTGTTTTTTTTTAAAATTCAGACAAGAAAAGAACTATTACCATAGATACAGAGTAAATTTTGCAAACACAATAAAATGTTACCTTGTCATTTGAATTTGCACAGAACCATGGCAACAGCTTGACTTTGCTGACCTGTTGGACCTAAACTGTTATCTTTAATATTAATCTTTGCATTTTTAAAGAATAATGACGAAATAATTGATGGGTAGACATATAGTAAAATTTCCTTAAAATGATGCTTATTTTTATTTAAATGCTTTGTGTACTGCAGAACTAGTTCATACCTAGTGTTTTGAAAGATCCAGCTTAAGCAACCTGAAAACACATGGGATCATACAACTGCAGAAATGTTTGCAGTTGTTGCCTCAAGTTGTATCATTTCTGCATTCTTTCTGCATAAAATGTTGTTTCTTACACATTCCAGCCTGCTATGAATACCACATAAGATATTATAAGATAAAGGATGCAATTTTTCATCCACTGAACTGAGAGGAACGTAATTCTCCACAGAACAAAGGACAAGTACAGTTTTGGGAATACATATAGAGCTGTATATTCTTTTTCCATTCACCACAAACTTTAGTCCACATATCACTTGTGCACTGTTCTTCAAAATTATTATTGACATTTCAGAGAAAAATCAAAAAATCTATATAATTTTCTTGCCTAAAACTTTTAAATCCTCCCCCTCCTGCCCCCACAGTATTTTCTTTAAATGGCCTGTGTTCTGAATAGTACTTCTTGCTTGTCACAGAAACTTCTGTTCACTAAGTAGTGGTGCTGCAGATATAATTTCTAACTAATAGATGTTAAACCAGCTGTCTTAACCTTTATGTACATGTTTCTGTAAGAATTCCCAGTTATATTCATAAAAGACTAGACACCTGCACTTGAAGCACTTAGGAGACTTTAATTTGAAAAGGAACAAGCAGTGTGCAGCTGTGCTTTCCTTTTGATTGTTCATTATTGACTAAGCAGTTTGACTTTAGTTCTTTTCCCTAACACATTTAACCAACTAGGATAGGATGTTGGGAGGGGGTTTTGTGATTTTTTTTTTCCAAATTAGCTGTAGTAGTTGTTTACTATTAGAAGTAATTATTTTTTAGTACAACTTCTGTTAGTATATTTACAAGAATATTTCTTTACTATTTAGTGTTAGTTTTTTACTAACAGAGTAGTGTGATATCAAGGTATCTATCAAGTGCTGAAACATTACTCAAAAATTAGTGATAGGTTACCCATCACTTAATTATAACTAGTGACTTTTTTCCCCTCCTTAAAGTGACACTGTTTGGGCAACCACTATGTGACATACCAGCTAGATGGAGTCCAGAATAATTCATGCAAAAAACAGTATAGCAGTTGAACTAAAGTTCTAAAATTATATTGCAGTGTTAGCAGGACCAGAAGGGAGTGAAAGTAATTTCATTTTAAAGTGAGGTCTTTTCAGAGCAAGACATCGCTTTTCTGGATTATGAAGCAAAAAGCACATGTCCAGTGTATGATTCCCTGGCAAACATACAGAGTTTTAAATTAGTTCTCTGATAATTTGAGGTTTTAAGAACTTTTTATAGAAATTACAATTTAAATAGCTAATAGCTGATTTTTCATATTCAATTTAACAAAGGTAATTGTACTGTTTAAAGGTACCAAGCTGTGAAATTATAACTAGTGAAAGAAAATACTACATAACTACAAAATATTAATATTCACAGTACTGAATTTGTAAGAGGAATTCATTTAACTCTTTGAAAGACAGGTGTAATTCCACTTTAATATTCAGTAATTTCATCAATTTACAAGCAACTTTTCTTTCACAGACCAGACACCTTTAAAGGTATGTGGCAGTGTGAATTGTTTTCAATGATCAGTTGAATTTTAAAAAAAAATTAATGTACAATGAAAATTTTAATCATTGACTGTTAAGATATTATAGACTTAAGAAGTTGAATGGAAACAAATTACAATACATTTAATTGGTTAGGTCAAAGGTTCATTTAATATTTCAATTAATTTATAAAATTATTTTAAAATGATTAATATTCATCAGATATTTTGATTTTTTTTTCTGGTTATCATGTAATTTACTGTCTTGGAGAATAAACTTTTTAGACACTGATCTCTGCTCTGTTACCTCTGAAATTTTGGCATCTAATGTATCACTTAATATTTTAAATTCTCCATAAATTTATATTATTTTGGATTTATTTTGCATTTTTCATATTTTTATTTAATTTTAAATAGATGTTTAACAAAAAATACATTAAAGTAATTTATTAAATATTAAACTATAGCATTTTCTCCACACTGCTAAGATAAAATCTGCTGCTTTGCAGCTCATGTAGACCCTTAAAAGAGTCAGGCACCGGGTTCGATTCCTGGCCCCCTGGGCAGGTGGAGCTCGTCAGCCGTGGAAGGCAATCCACCTAAGAGAAGGTCACTCTAAACAAACCTACATCCTGGGGACCTCACTGCCACTGTCCAAGCTTTGCTCGGCCCCAGCAGATGAACCTCAGGACTAAAGGGTGGGCTCAGTTCAGCGCACGCTGTGTCTCACCTAAAAATCCACTGCGCAGGCTGGAAGGGTTAATGACCTTTCCCAAAATCTTCGCTCGCGAAGACTGGCCATTACATTACATTACAGACCCTTAAAAAAGGAGATCACAGTTCAGATGACAAGCATACAGGTGTTTTCTTTCTGTCAGGATTTAATTGGCAGCTACAATGGTCTTAAGCCTTAGATGTAGCACTAAATCTGATGAGAAACTTGTTTGGACATGTCTTAAAATGGCTTTTGGTCTCTTTGCAAACACGTGTTTCTTCTTCCCAAGACCCCCCATGGTAGTGTTATCTCAGGAATGTCCTGGGAAGGTGTCCTGAGGTGTTTCTCATTGGTCCTTGGTTAACCCCTTCCTATTGGCTGTTGACCCTTTACCTGATAGTTTTTTCTGTGTGACCCTGAACTTGTGATTGGTTCCCCTTTGACCCTCCTAAAAGCTTTATAAACCCCTTCCCAACAATAAACGCTCTCTTGCCTCCTCTCCACGCCGGTGTGCTGTCTCTGTACCAACCATGGGACCACATGCGTGGGGGGAGGAGACGGCACCTCTCCCCTCCAGGCTTGGGGCCTGAAAAACCCTGTCGATGGAGTTCCCTTTCCACGTCCTTCAAGATGTCGGAATGGCTCTTCAGATGGAGATGGAACTAGAACTGGGCTCCCCCACGTCGTGGGTGGGGAAAGGGATCCAGAACATAGACATCACTAATGCACCATGGTTAAAGCCCTCATCACAGATACTTTGGAAAATAAAACTTGTGTGATCTGAGCATGCAAGCAACTGTTGTTTTTTTTTCCAAAAATGAGAAGTGACTTAATAAAAGAGTGCTCTATTTGAAAGAGAAGTAACAAAATAATAATGCCAAACAATCAAATAATCATTTTTAAAAGTACACAGTTCCTTTCCTCTGGTTTATTTTGGTGGTTTTTTTTTCTAAAATACCTTCTAGTTCTTACTGCATCCCCTCTCATGCAGTAGCCTAGTGTGTATGTTTAGTTGTCCTCAATCATACTGGCTAGAAAGGCCACATCACAGATGCAGCTGACCCAGTGACGTGAACTTTCCATCCCCATCTTAGTGCCTCTCAGTTTTGTAATTGGTTTTGCCTGGCCAGTGTTGCCCCATGAAACAATACTGCTCAGTTCTGCTAGGTATTCTTCATGACACAAGATCTAATTATTCAATTTCTATCAGCTACTGCTGTTATTTTAGATTTATTTGCTCTTCAGCAACTTTATATATACAGTATACATCCTTGTTGCCCAAAATGGTCTTTGTAAACAGATATATGTTGTTCCTTCAGATCTGACTTCAACATACCAAAGCTGCAAACTGTCTCCTTACATATTTTGAGCACTCTCTTCCAAGTACACAAAAACACCATTACTTTTTCCAAGTTTTATGCTCCATTGCAAAAATTATTGGATTGAGATAGCATTAAAATTTTATATTGAAAGATGCGGGCCTGGAAAACTACTATTTTTTTTAAATGCTTACATAACATAAAGAAACTTAACAGAAGCACAGGATATAGTTTCTAGATAAGCAGGTAGCTGCAAAATTCTCTGCACTCTCATTCTCCAGTCTGATTATTCTTGTTCCATACCTCCCATTTTTACATGAGGAAAATCTGGCCTGGTTTATAGAACTAAATGAAAAAAATCACTGACCGAAAGTCCTAGTAGAATAGCTCTTTGCTCAAGATCACATTTGTTACTGCTTATTGTCGTACATTGGTGGTACCTGAGTGTTAGATATAAAAACATAATATGGAAGATGCCTCCTGAGTCACTGAATCTAAAACTTGTTTTTCTAAACAATCAGGTATTCATTGGCTGGAATAATGAGTGTTAGTGGTAATAACATGAACTGCTAAATTTGTACTACAAATGTAAAGAAACAAACAACCTTAAACATTTTGCTTTGTAAGGTGCCGAATATGAGACTTAATGTGCATGGAAGGTAGACATTTTGAGTAAGAAAACAACATGTTTCCATAGTCTTACACTAGGATAGCCTTTGAAACATGTCTTAATCAGGGACTGCTTTGCTCTGTATGATTCCATAATCCTTTTATTTCATAAACATTACTATAAATACAGGAAATTGTTCATAACCTGAGGACATCAAAAGCTATGTCAGATTTAATTTTGGCTTGATAG